ATATATTTTATATATATAAAAATATAATACGTGTGGGATCTGAATTCACTGATCATGTAAAATGCTAAGCAGAAAAAAGTTTTACAATAGTCAATTCACTGAATTACTATCTCTAATTGAGTAGCAGTGGTAACTATCATGACATTGGGACAGTCATGGTTTCAGATTTCATTACAAATATGAGAATCACATCAGACGTATGACTCATCTGATCAAATAGGGCAGGTTTATTGCCTCAATTTGAAAGCCCATCAATCCATATATAGAGAGATATTTTAAACCATTTTTGAGCAAGTTCTATCTCATTTTGTGTTTTCTCAAAAGTAAAAGTCTAAAAGAATGTAAACCTAAAGACAACAGAGTTTTAGGGATTGAAAAGATGGGTTTTTCTGCAACTACATACATAAGTTTGCATTATTTTTGTGGCAGTTAGTAGGACTAACATGAATGGATAGGCATGGAAATATTCCTCAACTTACTGTCCATAGGTACGCCTGTTATGAAGTATTGACTGCATACTTTTTTTTTTTTTCCCCAGTGGCCACAGATGTCTTCAACTCCAAAAGTCTGGCCATTCAGGCCCAGAAGAAGATCCTTGGAAAAATGGTGTCCAAATCAATAGCAACTACTTTGATCGATGATACAAGCAGTGATGTTTTAGATGAGCTCTACAGAGTGACAAAGGAATATACACAAAATAAAAAGGAAGCAGAGAAAATAATCAAAAACCTCATTAAAATAGTCCTCAAATTGGCAATTCTCTACAGGAACAACCAATTTAATCAGGATGAAATAGCATTGATGGAGAAATTCAAGAAGAAAGTTCATCAGCTGGCTAAGACCGTGGTCAGTTTCCATCAGGTGGATTATACCTTTGACAGGAATTTTTTGTCCAAACTGTTAAACGATTGTAGAGAGCTTCTTCATGAAATCATTCAGCGTCACCTAACCGCAAAGTCACATGGACGTGTCAACAATGTATTTGATCACTTCTCTGATTGTGAATTTTTGGCTGCCTTGTACAATCCCTTTGGACCTTATAAACTCCATTTGCAGAAACTTTGTGATGGTGTCAACAAAATGCTAGATGAGGGGAACATATAAGTACTTGTATTAAAGTTGACTGCCTTATGCATTATTTGTAGATGGAACACTGTTGATTTATGAAGGAATAAGGGAGCATGCAAAACAGGTTTTTTACATTATGACAAATATTTCCAAAATATCTTTATTAAATTGATTCCTTATTATGAGCTATCTGTTGCTATTCACAGTCCATCTGGAAGAAGGACTGCACATAACTTTTTTTACTGTGCTTTGCCTACGGAAACAGCTGGATAAAGACAATAAAGCAGAACAGTCCAAGTAGAGTAAGAGTCTTGCAAGACAGATATACAAAACAAAATAATATGCTGTCAGACAATCCAAATCTTTCATACATTTACAAAATTATTTCTAAACTATCAGAGTCCAGTGATGTTAGTAACAGGCTATCATGGTGATGGTACACGCTATAATTTCTTTGACTTATTTGTAAAATATATATTTGATTCACTTATAGTCTTTTATGCTCTCTGCACAGATCACAGCTTCCTAGTGTTGCCCTTACGAAGCATTCAGTTTTAAATAATATCAGTGATGCTGTCACGTAGAGTCTTAACGGGCTTGTTCATCTCCAGCTCAGTGGTGAAAACTTCCTGTCTGCAAGGCTACCAAGTATAGAACCTTATAGACCCGCACAGATGCTTGCTTCCTTCGATTATATGGGGATTATTTGAGGAATAAGCTACAGTAGAATAGCCTAACTGGGGAGAAGTATTCCCTAGGAAACACTTGCGGTACATAATTTTAACTCTGCCTATGATAAGGTAAAACACAGTAACTTACCTGTGCAATTCCTTAAGATATTTAGAATCCTGCTAATAGGTCATAATTCTTTTTGAAAAGGTGTGAGTCAGTATATTTTATACACTAGGCTGATGTGTATGATGATGTGAATTCAGAAAACTTAATCATCTGAAAATAAATTCCAAGCCAATTTCCTTTGTGTACAATGAAACTAGAAACAGAAATTAGTTTTTATCATTGTGTTATATACTATTTAACTAATGGAAAAATGGCATCTTGAATAATTTTTTTTTTTCTTCTTTTCTCCCCTCCTACCTTTCACCCTTCTTTTTCTCCCTCACCTTCTCCCTGCCTTGCCCTTGGGGGATAAAAAAATGTGACTTTCTAGACACTGTAATGTACTTAAAAGCATGAAGTTAATACATTTCAAACATCCGATGACTTTTTGTTAGGAAGCATATAAAGAATTTGCTGTTTATTTAATTGCCAGTGTTTTTGCTGTTTGCTGTGTCCTTTTGTTTTAATGAGTAAACCAAAGAATATTTGCACTCCGAACTTTTCATGCCTTTTTTTTCCCATGTTGCATTTTAAATTATAAAGAGCAAACTTGGCCTGTGCCGGCAACGAAAGCATCACAGCCTCTGACATATGGCTTCAGCATTACTTGTGATTTTTTAAGAGAGAAAATTCACTTTTATTCATGTTTGTTTGGTGACTAGGCTCTGAATATTCCCAGAAAGGTGCCAGAAATGTGCCATAGAAATGTGTGATCAAAATGTGAACTCATTTTATACAAGCCACTAGTGTGCAGCAGAGACAGAATATTAATGTACTACTAGGCTGGAACAACTAGGAACTGATGTAAGGATAGTGCACCAGAATTTGCCAAGAGATAGATTATTAGATTGACATCTGAAGGAATATAATTTAAGATCCCTTCCCATGTTTTACTTAAACAGTAAATACATTGTACTTTTGTCCATCAGAAGTCATGGATAGGAACGCAACATCATGAGGAAAATCCCACAAATTGTAAAGAGTATAGTTTCTGAAGTATTTGCTCCACCTATTTCTTTTCTTTTCCCACCTAGAAAGAGAAAGCTATTTGTTTTCTTTCTCAATTCTTCTGAGGTGAGACTAGAAAGGAACTTGACTTCTAGAAATTGAAACTCTTTTCTTTACAAATCCTATTTCTAAATCACATTCTGATTCTCCAAAATAGCATGGTTTATAATGAATGGTAACAGTTACTGAAAGGATGGCAGGACAGTACCTTGTTTAGAACCAGGCACAATATACATGTGCTGTGTAAACCACGGAAGATTTTCTTCAGCTATGACCCAGAATATTTTGACTGCTCAAATTTGAATTGTCTCTGGGACAAAAATTGCTTAAATGGTCTTTGTACATTGTTAATGAACACCTACTTACATGTATATGAGCCATATTGTAGTCAAACTATGTATATTTTCAGTAACACAGTAACTTTTTACTCAGTTGCATTATCTGGCCATATACCTCTTAGAAAAAGCAAAAATTGCTCATGGAGATTTGATTATAAGCATAAAAACTTGACAACTAGGAGAAGTTACATTTAGCTCACAATCTAGTTACATTCTTCTGAGATGCTGTAACAATAGTACTTGTCTGGCATTCATTTTCAATTACAAAGAATTGACTTTCATAATGATGAAAGAAAACAATTGTACTGACCTACCTTTATAAATAACATGACATAGCACTCAAGCTGTATAGTTTTGCAGTTAATTTATTCTTCCTGCAGCATACATAAATAGTGGCTTTAATTATCAAAATTCAGAAATAAATTGATAGCATTTTTCCTTGTAATACACTTGCATTAAATTATCGACCTTCTAGCAGAAACTTGACATAGTCAAGAGTTTGAAAAAGGTTACAGTAGTACTGTTTAGTTATGGGTAGGATAATGCCATTATTCTGTGCTGTAAAACTGAACAACACTGTGTTTTAATAGGGTAAAAATTATTAATACATTAAAATCCAATCATCATAGATTCATTTTACAATAGGCTTTTAAATCTCAGTACGTTAGGTGTTTCATATTTGTAACATCCTTTTAATGTTTGGTTAATATGTAGTGCCTAATGCCATCCAAATGTATGTTGGTGAAGTTGTGGAAGTTAAAACTTATGTTATAGCCTTCTAGAGGAGTTGAAAAAGTGGTAAGTCAGACCTTGGATACCTTTTGCAAGACACATCAAACAACCATGATCTCAGCCATACAAAGAAAACAAGATATAGGGCTGTTATCACGGCCATTTTGTGTGTGCCACCTTAAAAGGGATTCAATAGAACTTTTGGCCACCCCTTAATTATGTTTGTATGCATTTGTGTGTATGCATAGACAAACAAAAAGACACAATTGGGTAAGTTACAAGCCTTATTCTTGTCCTTAAGCTCTCTTGAGATTTATCGCCATTTAGAAGGTACAGAGATTATCAGGAGTCTGGAACCTTTCAGCAACTGGTGTGGTTTTGTTTTTTTCTTCTTTAGGAAAATACCAAATCATGTCTCTTCTAAAAAAAGATTCGACCCCACCCATAAAGCAAATTCCCATAAAATAAAGGAATGAGATGGCCAATTGCTTTCTCACATCTCTCCCTAAAAAGAGTGCCTTGTCCCAAGGAAGTAGCAAACTGGTTTTGATGCCAGTTGGCTTCAGTTGCTTTCCAGTCCCTTTAAAAACTATAATGTGACTATTTAAAGGTAAACTGGAATTCTGCGTGTAACTCTTCAAAGGACCAGAACACGCTTGTTTTCATGGTCTAGCAGAGAGGAATCCACACTACTCCTAAGTCCACCATTGTCAAAGATGACAGTGTTATGAGGAGGACGCGTAAGTTGCACATTGTACTGGCTTAGATGATCTCTCTGTGAGTGTTCACCATCTGGTGACCTGCTACCATACCTTTCCTTTGGCCTTACATGCTTTTCCTGCCCTTCAGAGCAGCAGAACTTCTCTTCAGACAGGTCTATTCCTTTCCTACCATTCTTGCTTCAAGATTATATCACATTGTGTATGCATCTAAGGAGAACAGTAGATAGACTATGTTACCCACTTCACTTAATGAAAAAAACAGAGCTAAATACCAGTTTCCTGGGTTTTTTTTGCAATGTAATTTGAAATCTGAAAGAATAATCTACGTCTTGATGCAGTTGTTAATACTGTTTTGGATATCTTCTATACCCTCATCAGTATAGTAAGCATTTAGCTGTGATTTCAGTACATGTACTTCTGAGCCTTTAAAAAACAAAACAAAACAAAAGTAGTGCTTTTGAATGCATTACAGAGGGTATACTTTAGCATGAACATGAAATGAAGATTCCCGCTTGCATAACCATTTGCAGAGAAACCTTCTCGTTACAACTGTTTTTCATTGAGATTTGGGTAGGTCAGCCAACATTCATGGTTAAGTGGCAAACATCTGTGCTCTGGATAAAACAACTGTCAAAAGAGATTACAGTTGTCCATAAAAGTTCCATAATATCTTATTTTTATGATTTGCACATAAATGAAACTTCTTTTGGGAAAGAAAAGTTTCCTATCTTAAAAAAAAATTTGCTACCCCAAACCACACTGTGGCTACTACTCTGAAAGACTAAGTAATCTAGTTGAAATCTCCAATTTGTTAAAAAAAAAACTTGCATTTGTTCTTACAGAGAAAGAAGTTCTAAAAAAACTAATCCATACTAAATTACTAATCTATTGGTGCTGAAGTTTGCATACTGCAGCTGAAATTATATTGCAACATGGACATTCATATCTATAGTAGTATATATTTTAGGTTACCATGTGATTTATTTTCCCTCTATGAAAATAAAGGAGTAGTATCTCCTTACAGGCTATGTCTAAGAGCTCTCTCTATTACAGTAGTGCCTGGTCTATGTCACAAATCAAGATTTCTTACTGTTTAAACCACAAATTGCCAAAGTGACCTCTCTTTTCTTAGTACTTGGTTTTAATATTTAGAGTTCTGGTTTCCAATTTTAAAGCTGATACTTACAGATAGGACATTCCTGAATCAATACCCACTTTTTCTTGTGAGTTTGGGAAGTACAGGAACTGAAGTATATCTTCTAACAACCTGCAAATTTCTATTTGCTATCACTCCACCAGTTTCTGGAGAAACATCCCTTATGGCATTTCTTTCTATTAGGGAGCAAATTGAAAAGAGGCAGCTCATAGCTTTGGGATGTCCCATAATTGCACAGTATCAAGCAAAGGAGCAGACTATAACAATTAAGAATAATGGAATTAAGGAGGTACGTTACTTGCCCAACTTTCCCAAGCAACCGAAACCTGTTTGCTATTTGTTGTTCTCCCCTGTGGGAAAGTCTTGGTGTGGTAGGTGGAGGACAAAGGTGGAGCTTCCTACAGTTACTGTGATACAAATTACTTTTACCATCAAACGTAAGACCTTCCATTTTGTACTGTAAAAATGTTAACACTGGATTTTAAAATAATGCTTCACATTGGCTTCATGACAAATTAATTCCTACTTCAGTTTTTATTAAATATTTGGGGTTTAAATGTGCTTTTATTAATGCACGTAAATATGAGCTGAAACAATTGAAGTCAGCCTTGTGCATCATATCTTTCTTCCTAGATACTGTTTTTTCTTCAGTCAGTAGGTGTTTTGTGTGCTATAAAGAAACTTCTTGGTGGATATAATTCTGAAGGTTTTGATAAACGCAGATTGTTCCAAGAGAAAATTGTTGGCTTTTCACCCACTTGTTCTCCCGTTCCTGCTGGCAGCTTTTCAGAGTATCAGCCCCACCGGTCTTTAAACATGGCAATTTAGAGCTCTTCATTTGCAACACCCTTTGTAGGACATTTTGAATTACATTTTTCAGAATTCATTCATAGTTGATTGTTCTGGCCAAGCCACAGCTAATAGTGGATGAAAAATATTGTTACATTTAATTTGTGTGAGGTTTTTTTAAATACCTCATGAGAGTATGATGGTGCAGACGGAATAAATCAGCCCAAGTAGGGCCCGTATACCACCAACCCTTCTTTTCTTGCCTGGGAATGGCAATGCACCAGTTCTACTCCATTATGGAATAGTATTGAAAAATTATTTGGCTTTCTTGAGCAGAATTTAGTGTCCTTGCATTTGAGGAATCTATTTCAGTAGCTGGGCTTGGCTTGGGTCCTGAGGCGAAAGTCCGCTGGCTATTGATAGACTACGGTTAATGAAGGGTTCCTGTGACATGAAAGGACAGCCTTTCCCCATTCCAGAAGCACTTAGCTGATGCTCTCAGTTTACTTCACTGACCGGACTTCAAATACTGTGGGGTTTTGCTTTGTTTGATTGGGGTTCAGTTTTATTTTGTGGAGAGTCAAGACCTACAACTGTGTACCATCTGCTAAGATATTGCAGAAACAAAAACAGACTGAGGCAGTGCTTTGAGCTGGGGGGGAATAAGTGTATTGGTCCCGGGACGTAACATGAGATCAGCTGTTACTTTCAAGAAAGCTGGTTCTGTATCTCAAGGATCTTGATAATTCAGCAACAGAAAAATGATCTCATCCTTGGAACTAAAGTGAGTCTCTTTGCCCAACTGAAAAGCTGTCTCAGTTATAGGCTGCTTAACTTGATTTGAACAGTATGGACACTCCCAAAGGTACATTTCCTTTGCCATTACATGAGAAACTATTAGGGAAAAGTGGAAAGGAAAGCTCAGCACTTTTCTGGGAGAAAGGGCTGTGATCAGACAAAGATCTTATTAAGTTTGCTTTGCCATCTTCACTGTGATAAGGTCTACCGCCTACCGTAAGCATAGGCGTTTGACTTTGGCTAAATAAGACAGTATATTTAAGCTTACAGTTCCAGTATCCTATGAGACTGCAATCTACAGTTTACCCCAAAACTAGAACTGAGAAGCTCATGCTACAAAATATGGAAATAGGGAAGGAGGCCCTTTACAAAACAGCATTGATGAAAACTAGTCTTCGCTGCTGTTTGGAGCTGGGAGAACCTTGGCTGGGGAATTCAGACTGCCCACCTCGTTCCTGATGAGCAAAGCAAGTGCTGAAGGGGAGTACAAGCTACTAAAGAAAAAGGTGTTTATGTTGTTACTTAGTTGACTGGCTGTTCTCCATCTAGCCATCTTGCTTCTCAGTTAGTGGGCTATTCCGTATTTCATGTATTCTTGACTAAAATTGCTCTTTATAGTGCAGGTTGGGGAGGAATTCTCACCACAGAATATAGTCAGTCTGAACCTGTGGTGTTTGGCTTTCATTTACATTTTTGGGGTGGTTGGGATGGAAGCGGGCGGAGTGGGTATTTCTGAGAGACAACTGGAAGTCTGCTGTTTATCTGAGGGGAATGAATATACGTGTGCTGTTGTGCACAGAGAAAGCTTCTGTAACAACACTGGGATTAAGAACTCTAGAATGTATTTGGTGGCAACTTGAGAGAAGAGGCCATTTTAGGAGGCACAGTTTAAAAGTAGCTTATATTTTGTGCACTTTTTCTGTTTATTAAAGGAGCTGCCTGGATTTATTCCAAGAGCAGAACCTCTTGGAATTTTTGGCTGTTCTAAAGCTCAATATGGCTGTTAACTCAGGAAGCAACTGCACTGAATCAGTTTTCTCAGGAGGCATTTCAAGTCTTTCTTCCGTCTACTCAGTAAAGATTCAACTCATCTGGAGAGTCTACCCGTAACTTGGTAGTAGTGCCAATATGCATCTGATTGCCACAGAATGCGACATATGGTTATTTGCTAGACCTTTTACCTCTTATTTTAGTCCATGTGGTTTTTACTCTCCTTTGTTTGCCTTCAAGGAGACAAAGTTAATGGATTTTTCATGAAAAATCATTTAGGATGAAATGGAGTAGTTGTGTTACGGGAGCAATACCATAACCTTTTGCTGGCACCTCCCTAACATCTCTCCACAGGGTGTATTTTCAAAGCCGTAGACATGCACAAGCAACTAGTTTCTGTTTGAGGAGTTTGTTCTACTAATGTGTTACTACATACCAGCTCAGCAGTCCACCAAGCCCTGACTGACCCAAGGCTTCAGTCTCCCTTAAATTGTGAGTCTCTGATGGAATCAAATGGATAGCTTCCATAGCGCTCTGCTTGTGCCCCCAGCATGGATTTTTCCACTTAATTGAGTGGTATGTGCAACAAATGCCAAAATGAACATTTCTTGCCAAAACAGGGACATAAAACCTCCTGTGATATGGGTTGTTGACAAGAGCTATAAAAATGTTTGCATGTACATTTGCAGTTGGTTCATAAGAATATATCCAGTCTTAACTACACAGTAGGCTGCTCCTCAACATGACATCAGGAAAGCTGCTTTTCAAGTTCTGAGGGTGACAAACAATGGATTCAATGGCAAGAAAAACCCCACTTACTAACTGCTGTAGGCTCACAGAAAAATAAAAGAACACAAGAGAATGCAAGTTAGAATGGAACTACTACTATTTGCTGTTCCTGCAGATGGAAGGAAGCAATAGAAACACTATACTCTAGCTATGAGTAATTCCTCAGCAGGGGTTTCTATCACATAAAATTGTATACCTAATCAAAATAAGTAGTTTTCTCTCCACTTTTACTGAGAGAGTAATTAGTAGGGTGCACTGGGCCATACAGTTGGTTTATGAGATGAACATTTGTGACCAGCTCAGGGCTGAGACCTCTCAATGACCTCTCTGCACTGGCAGCCAGAGGATGGCTGCAGAGAGAGAGAGGAAATGGGGACGATGACCTGGCTGCAAGTGAGGCCTCTTCGGTCACAGCAGGAAACATCTATCTTCAATACCCCGGGGACTTCTACAGCACTAAGGCTGTGGGGAGATACCATCCATTATAGGCCATGCTTTTATAGTGTTCAGTGAAGGGTGCCACAGTGTTTAACATGGATTCAATATCTAGTTGTTGGTCATGGCAAGAAACATTGGGTTGCCCCCTTCACTCACGTTTGTAGAGAAATCTTTGGTCCCAGTGAATAGGCCTCTACAAATCTCCATGAGCAAAACCATTTAGAAAGAAAATAAAGTACTTGAAAATAAGCCTTATCATCCAAACAGATATTTTAGCAATATTAAAAAAGAGTAAAAGCAAGTCAGTCAATTCTTTTATTCTCCCTGAATAAAAGGTTCAAAGGTGCTCACCATCTACAGCAACAGACAGTAGAAAACATGTTAAGACTTCTACAGTATCCACCCCACATGCAACCCCAAGTTTATAAAAGAGACAAAGCCACAAAACCCCCAATTATCTAACCTGTTAGACGAAAGAATGACTTTAGAACATATACCAAATTTGTTTTAATACACAACATGAAAATTCACTGTTTATAAAAGAACTTACGTGCTCTAGGCATCTACAGTATCCACAACACATGCAACCCCAAGTTTATAAAAGAGACAAAGCCACAAAACCCCCAATTATCTAACCTGTTAGACGAAAGAATGACTTTAGAACATATACCAAATTTGTTTTAATACACAACATGAAAATTCACTGTTTATAAAAGAACTTACGTGCTCTAGGCATCGAAGCGTAACAGAAAAAAACATTATTATACTCAGTATTACAGGGTACTGCTTGGGGTTTCTGGCAAATTTTTCCTGGTGTAAAAAGCCTGCTATGTCAATAAAAGAGCTGATGATAAATATATGTTAGTTCACACTGCTCACTAAGAAACAAAATAAAGTAGATTTGGTCTTCCTTTTTGACTCACTTATTTTGTTAGAGTTTCAACCACTTTAAACCCTGTCTGGCCGAGTTTGGAATCTGAATATCCTGCTATTAATCTCCTACTATGGCTCACTCATTCAAAACTCAGTTTGACACCTGCTCCATTCAAGTCTCCACCTAACGTCACCCTGCTTTGGTTAACAGTGGTAGTGTTTTGCCCTTATACCTTGTTTCAGACTGATGCAAGTATTTTCTGATAGCTGTATGACTTTTGGAACAAATCACTTCCGACTGTTGAGGGAACCCATCAAACCCTGTTCCATCCTGAGTGGTTCTTTGTATTTTGGATCTTTTTAATACAGACAGGTTTCACTTTAAAAACATAAATATAAAAGTGACATATTTTCACTCCAGTGCACTTTCTGTTGTGTTTTCCAGAAAAAAATCTGTTGAGGAAACTCCAGTTTTATTTATTGTTTTGAAGTGTGAGCTCTTTGCTGATTCTAATCCCAGTCTATGCACCAAAATGAGGAAGCTATAAAAGATCCTGACTTGTTAACAAGGCCTGTTTGTTAGCTACCTGAAGAACAAGTTATGCTATAGAAGTCCCTAAGGGTCTGATTTTACTTGGGGCATGTAACCACTGGCTTCCAGGCAAATTCAAGAGTAGAGTCCTTCCCTTGAATACCCCATCATCTAAAAAAAACAGGACATGGAAGACTATGGAACCTGAAAGGCTAAAGCTGAAATGGCCTGTTCAAGATCACGTAAGAGGCCAGAACCAGCACCAAAAATGAACTAAGTTCTCCCAGGACTCATTTATAGCCATGCACACAGAACTACGCTGCTTTAGATAGATATGATTATGTAAGGGATTACGCAAATAAATTTGGTGGTGTAAGGATGGCCACATTTGTTCCTGTGAGTATTTCCAGTCTGAACTAGATGTTTCCAGAAGTGTATCCACATTTGACTAAGCTGGGTATCCGTGCGGTTAGTGTGCACACATTTCCCTACCCTAAAAAATTACATCCTAAACTTACTGGACAGTACAGAAACAAGCCCCTAACTCCCCCTAATAAACGCGTGGGAGCGAATAAGGGTACATAACGCATCAGTGCAAGGCTCTCTTCCGTGCACTGTATCTTTAAAGGTACACCGCGTGTCACGGTCGTGTTGCGGGGTCAGCCAGGCGGCTCTCGCTGCAGCCAGCACCGCTCTTGTCCTGGAGGCTTACCTCTCTTCTCCCAGGTGGGAGCCTGATCCCGCAGTGTACCAAAAACAAACAAAATACTGAGTGTTGAGGCTGAACCAAAGCTCACAGACGGTTATGAGCTCAACCTGTTACCTGCTTAGGAAGACCAATCGCAAACTCGCAGCTCTGCCCTCCCGGGGAACAACTTCCTCCTACCGCCGAGTGTAGTACAGGTAAATGACGACCAGCGATGTTCTCTCTGCAATACACAGCCAACTGCACCGGCCTCTCACTGTTGGAAGATTTGCTCTTCTGTTGAGCTGCATTCAAATGAAATAGGCAAACTTTGGAAGTGTAATTAATTGTGAGGGTATTTTGTGCTGATTAATACGATGCCAGAACAACACACATCCAGTGCAAGGATGTTTCTGCGTACATTCAACAATATTTCCCATACTTAAAACTCGTGATTTTTTGTAGACTATTTATCTGTCCTGCGTTCCCTTACCTGCCTCCAGAACAATTTTTATTGTAGTTTACAGTGCATACACATAATGTGCCTATGCAGCCAGAAGAATGCCACCACGCCAGTGAATCTATTGGGTAAGTAAACCCAGTGTGCATTAAAAGCAGTGCCCCTTTGACTCGATCTGTGCGTAAGCCCTTTTTAGGGTCGTCGTATAAGAATTTCGTTACTTGTGGTATCTGTAAATGTACATATTTGTCAGTTTTACTGTTGCACAATGCTCCCTCTAGTGCCCAAACTGTAAATTGCAACTATGGTATTCAATGCAATTTCTCCGTTCAAACTGTAATAAAATCACAGGCAATACATCTCTATTCCTAATACTTCTAAAGAGTGAACGTTACAGACTACTTGAGGTCAGAAATACTAATTTCTTATAGTTTGTAAGTCTCCAAATAGCTATCACTCGGGTAGCTATCACTTCTCTTTAGTGTAGACAGTAAAGCACTAACAGCCAAGGAGATAATCTGCAGCAAAACCAATTTTCTTTCTACTAGCTCCAGAAATAATCCAAACTTTACAAGAAAGGTTAATCATGAATTAAAAGTTCATCTGTGCAGAGGGAGTATGTAGATGATTTCCCCAACAAAATAAGCTAGTCAGCTGCTCTGAATTCTGGGCACTCCTTACACCACCCTCTGTTGCCTGAGCACCTTCTAGATTTGAGACAGACAATGCAAAGAAGCAGGGAGTTTACAGCTCCCAGAGGCTCAGGCTTATGGTGCTCCGTCAGCTGGGAGAGTAAGTAAGAAGGAATAGCTCCATGAGATCCCTGTCCATAGTTGAGATAAAGTTTGTCATCACCTGAGTTGGATGGGTAATACTGGAAAATCCTAACTAGATCTACTGCTGAGATCCAGAGCAGTGGCCCTATGAAACTCCAATAGAATTACATTCTGAACGACACTGTCTCACACTATGCCATGCCTGCAATGATATAATGAATAGGCATGTTCATTCTTACTTAGCCCACTGTCTGGTTCCACAAAATACAATCATCTCTACTACTCTTTCCTCCTCACGCTGTTCCCCTGCTTCACGGTGGGGTCACTTCCACAGGCTGCAGTTTTTCACCAACTGCTCCAGCGTCGGTCCTCTCCACTGGGTAGTCCTTCAGGAAAAGACTGCTCCAGCATGGGTCCCCCAGAGGGTCAGAGCTCCTGCCAGCAAACCTGCTCCACTGTAGGCCTCCATGGGCTGCAGGGGGGCAACCTGCCCTCACCATGGTCTTCTCCATGGGCTGTAGGGGAATCTCTGCTCTGGCTCCTGGAGCACCTCCTCCCCCTCCTTCACTGACCTTGGTGTCTGCAGAGTTGGTTCTCTCATGGTTGTCTCACTCTTGTCTCCCACAACTGCCCTGCACTGTTTTTTACACTTTCTTAAATATGTCCTCACAGAGACACCGCCATCTTGGCTGCTAGGCTCAGCCATGCCCTGCAGTGGGTCTGCTGGAGCCAGCTGGAATTGGCTGTGTCCAGCACAGGGCAGCCCTGGCCTCTCCTGACAGAGGCCCCTGCAGCTCCCCTGCCAGCACCTGGGCACAGCCAGCCAGTATGGCCTTCCACAAACGGAGAGCCAACATCTGGGGGGAAAAAACCGCAGTATATTTCACATTAATTGTTCAGTCTAAAGAACTGCCACAACCAGGGAAGCAACAGTTGAAAGCAGTGACTTGGATTGGGAAATAGTAAATAAAGCAAAAAATAACACAAGATTAATGTAAAAGAAGTAAATAAAGATTAACTTTAAACGGAGGCGTGATGTCTACATTCAGGCAGCCTGGTCTTGAAATCCACCCTACCCAGCCGTGGCCTCTTACGACACCTGTGAAGATGTGCCTGCTGTGGAGCAGGACAGACGAGCTCGCCTGTTAAAATCCCTGTATTTCACAAGCAGCTGGCCTTGCCTGTAAAGGCATGGAAATACAGGGAGCAGGCAGGGCTGCAACCCGACCCGCCTCCGCCGCGCCGGCGCCGCGCTCTTCCCTCCCCTCAGTTCGGCGCCGCTGGGGCCAACGTTGCAGTCCAGACTACGTTTCCCAGAGGGCGGCGTCGGCGCATGCGCAGTGTCGGCGCTCACCCCTCCCCTCCCCTCCCCTCCCCTCCCCTGCCT